CTTTCGTTAAAGTTTTTTGTTTGTGGTTTGGTTTTTTGAGTTCAGTAGGTTTTCATATTTGGGTTTAAAATGTATTTTAGTGATTTCCCTTTCTACCAGGTCCAGATGCCAAGGAAACCTTGACAGAGATGTCACAGGTTAACTTTTGTATCAGACAGTAAGGAGGGAAAACGGCTTTTATTCCTTCCAACTTGACATTCTGGAAAGTAAAGAATTCTTTGAGCATCCTATGAAACCCCTCTCAACCCCAAAACCCTGCATACCCAAACAAACTGCAAGAAATCTCAGGGGTTCCTGGACCCCTGCTACCTACACACAGATCTTTGGGCTCACGTGCTGCAGGCTGATAAGCTGAGTGTCTAAGAGTCAAACCAGAGCTCTCCCCAAACTCCTCTGCACTCCCCAATCATGGGGGCTGGCAGGGTGGGGTGGAGGCCCACCTGCTCCTGCAAACGGGCTTCCTCACAGCCCTTCCCACCCCCATCCTTCATTTCTGAGGCTCACACTGCGCTCTCCCCACCCCCACTCCACAGGATCTCATCTCATCTGACCTTCCCACCCCCACACTGCGGTGGGCACAGGAGTGGGGGTATCAGGATGAGGAAGCCTAGAGAGAGAAGCACTGTCTCAGCGCTGACCCTCTAGCGAAGGCCTGAGGGGAGTCCAGCCGAAGCAGAGGTGAGTGTCCAGGGTTCCTCCAGGTCAGGAGCACCTGGGGACGTGCTCAACAACCACGCAGGTCCTCCCAGCATCCCTGAAGCCCGGTGCTTCTCAGGGCCACTCAGGTCTACCACACCCCGAACTGTGGCCCTCGCTACCTTGGCAAAGCACCACCCTCTGGCCTTCAGGACTAACCTCCGACCCCACTTCTCTGTGACAGTACCCATGTGCCTTTCCTGTCAGAGGCAGGGTAGGTGGGACTAAGCAACAAGGTCCAGGGCTGGGGGGGATGGGGGAGGCAGAATCTGGGCCACCTCTGCCCCACGAGCAAGGCTCCAGCCTCGGTTTTCTTAACTAAAACAATGAGCTCCCCCGTGAGTGCTCTGCACAGACCCCATCCCGTCCTAAAACCCAATGACCCCCATATCAGTGCATGATCTCAAACTATGACAGGAATTATAGCTAAAGCTGCTAGCTTTGGGTTTATCTTACATGCTGGGAACCAGCTTAATGTTTTAGATACATCATCATATTTTACCTCACAGCAACCCAAGGAGGCAGTATGATGGTTATATTATAATTTCCCCACTTATAAGGAAACTGAGGTTCAGAGAGGTAAAGTAACATTCCCATAGTCACAAAGCCCTGAGGTTAGCTGCAAAGCTCACGCCCCTAACTACTGCGCACTGCTGCTCTTTACGCTCTCCTCAGCGACCCTCTGTTGGGGTTGCTGCTGATACAAGGAGGGAAATGGGAGTGGGTAACACTGTCCTCAGTTTATATAAACTCCCACCAGAGGTAGAGTGATTTGCCCTATGTCGCACAATGGCAGGGTCGGGAATAATAACCCAGGGGCTTCGGTTTCCACTGCCCCCTGCTGTGTCTGCTCACTTCACTGGCTTTGGAAGGCAATAAACAGACCTGGCTTTACTCTGCTAGCATGAAAATTGCTTTGTCCTTGTACTTTTGAAGGTCTTTCTCCTCTTCTCCAAATAGCTATATAGTCTGAGTGATCATTATAAACAAGGGGTAAGTTAAATTTTAGTCCTGGCAGAAAAGAGCAGGGTAACGGACAATAACAAAGAAACCAGCTCCTCCAGCAAGAAAAACTGACTGAACACACTCAACCGACACCACCACCATCTTCACACACCCTGCCACCCATCTTCATTAAGTGGCCACAGCGTGAGCAGGTATTTTCCTATAATTTAACAACAACAAAAAAAAATCAAGAAACAGAATGGTTTCATTTGCCCTTTTCACGCTTCACAAGGGCAATTCTTAACCAGGAGGAAATTATATTTTAACTTCTGTTTGAGGGAGGTATGAGCTCTCAGGCACACAGACTCTGTCAAATGCCAAAACCTCTAAGAAAAGACCCAGGGGGGCCACTCAGTGCAAGCGTTCCCTGCAGATGCACCCAGACACCTCCCTCCTGTGCAGGAAGCCGCCACCGTCAGGCTGCTTCCAGCCAGCGCCCAATAACTCACCACAAGCCACCAGTGCTCACAGCAGTGCTCAGGACCCGGGGGTCACCAGAGTGACCCGGCAATGCCAGGACAGCACCATCCTGGCCTGTCTTCTGCAGCCCAGGCCAGGCCCAGGGGCTCTGCCGACCAGAGACCAGGAGAGGTGGCTTCTTCACACTCTTCCAGATAAACAGGAAAGTCATCCTGGATGTGTTCCAGAGGACAAAGGCTAAATCCCTCAAATGAAGACTATTTCGGATAGAAACCCCACTCTGCGGTGGGTTTGGGACCCAGCAGTCAAACGTGCAGCTACCCGACATCCTCTGGGACACCTCCTCTCTCCCCAGTGTCTGCAGCTTCCCACGTCATGAGTCCTGCCTTCTCATCTTACCATAACTTGTTTCCCCAGCACCCCATGCCATGAGGGTGCAGAAATGTGGTCAAGGCTGCCCCTGTCAGATGGAGCCATGGTCAGGTTGACAGTTCAGAAGGGAACCAAGTGAGGTTAGCCCCAGGATCTGCTCTGGGGGGCTTGTAGCAGGCTCCCTGGCTCTCTGGGCATGGCTGCAAAGAAACTGGCATCTGGACACCATGTTTACCGGATGAGCTGTAGCCTCAGGGCCAGGGGATGGAGCCCCCCTGCAGTAAATTAGCCTGGAACAGAGGAAGCCCTTGCATGAACCAACCATACATCCCCTCGGGTGCCAGTGTACATCCTCAGGAGAACCTGAAATGTACATCCCAGGAGCTCCTGGAATGGCAGAGGAGCATGGACTTGAAACCAGTCACACCTACAGTCAAACGTTGCTCCACCTTCTACCAGCTCTGCCTCCCTGGACATGTAATTTAACTCCTGGCCCTCAGATGTTTCAAATGAAACACGGAGATCAGAAAATCTAATCACATGTTTGTGCCTACTAAGGGAATAAACCAGTAAACAAACATGCCATGAATAAGGTACCTAACACAGTGGTTGGTATGTCAGGTGCTCCATAAGGTTATTTTCTTCCCCACTCTTAACTCTTGATACTGTTAGCTAATATATTAACACTTTTTTCCAAGTTGTCATCTCCAAACTAGTCATGTTTTGACAAGAAAAAAAAAATTATCAGACAGGTCATGGTCTTCAAGCATAATACCACTAGGGACAGTGTTCAAACTGGCAATGATCCACTCATAACACTCCTGGGATCTATTTGATCAATGAAACATGAAGTCATCCCATTCGACTGTCATGCAACCTAATGCTGATATCTTAAATAAAAGGATGTCATTGTCAAACACTTGGTAAAAATGATAGCAAAGGAATTTCCTTAAATCTTTCAGTCTTAACAATGTAATTTTTTAAAATGATGATGAGTAGAATTTGATGTGACTTAATAGAGATACCCCTCATGTGTGCACAGCCTAAGGCATTTCCCAGGTCTTTCATGGCTCTGAATGCACTCAGGAGACAGGAAGGGCATCCTCAGAGAACTTGACTGGGTTCCTACCAAGGACCCTGACCTCGGTGCTCAAGTGCATGACACTCAGCACTCTGGGCTCCTCTGTTCACCTGGCTCCTAGTGTACACTAAGTGCCTCTAATGTGTTGAGAAAATGCGAGGCTGGATATTCAGGCAGGCCCAGTTCTGACCTAGTAGAATTTTAGCAGCAGAGAAGAGGGATAATTAAGGGGACCATTAATGGGGAAAGGACCATAATTTGTGATAGGTACTAAAGCAGAGGAAACCCGGGAAGTCATCAATATATTCTGGTGTCAGGTAGGAAAGGAACACCAAGAAGGTTCCCATTTTTCCTCATTTTTTGAGCCTCAGATAATATTAATTTGACTGCAATATATTTTTAACTCAAGAAAGGCAGCCTCAAAAGAATTTTTGAAGAGATCTCTGAATAGCAGACAAAGATGGCTGGGCATTATTTGGAAAGAAAGAGGGAGCCTCTGAAGGTTTGTAAGGAGGAAGGTGATAAAATCAGAGACAGACTTGGTTCTGGATGAATGAGGAGTGGAAAGGGAGGCAGGGGGCCCCATCCAAAGTGTATTTCAGTAACTGAATAAATACATAATAGTATTTTACAAATATTAATGTCTTGGTTTGGGCAAATTTGCACTGGTTATGTAATATGTTAACATCATGGGAAGCTGGGTAAAGGGTTATTTGGAAAATGTCAGTGCTTTACTCTCAGCTCTTCTGGGAGTTAAAAATCATTTTGATACGAAAAGTTAAGAAAATCTGGAAGAGAAGAAAACAATCACTTGAAAAAATAATCTAATAAATATAGGAATGGCTAATTGTATGGGTATATTCCTACAGTGGCTTTGCTTTCTGTACATTTTTCTGATTTTTTATATAAATTGCTTTATTCAAACTCACAGCAATCAGAAATACTAAGCAATTCTAGATACAGGCTAAAAGTAACTTGATATTAACTAACATAATTAATAATTATTTTTTCCACTGTAATGAGTTCAAAAGATGATACAGTATAAAATCATCTAAAGGGGCATCTGCCAAAAAAACTAAATATCCAGTAGTTACCATTAAAAACAATGTATAACATAGTTGTCAATCCACTAAAATCTAGAAAATATTAATTTAACTACATTTGGTTTAAAAAGAAACTTTGAATGTAAATATCACATGCTTAGTTAAACTACACCAGAAATTCTCCAACCCGAGTAGCCTTACCAAGAAGAGCTACTCAAATTCAAAGGGTCTGTAGTTACTCCTGGTGAGTGAGTCCTTTTGTGTGACTGTGAGTGAGACAAGGTGAAAGCTATGGTGATTTCTCCAAAATATTTGAAGGCCTCAATGAAGCCCCATTTCGTGGAGGGTCGGGACCAGCTGGCAGGGACAGCAGTCAGTCTTACCCAGCGTCATCCTGGAAGCCTTCTAACTCGTCCCGTTGCTCGGCCAGCGTGGCCTCCAAGTCCAGGTAAGTACCATTGTGGGAGAGCTGCAGCGTGCAGTCGTCCAGCTGCAAGAGAAAGAGCCTGTTAAGCCAGCCTGCTCCTGCGGTGGGGGCTGGAACCCAGAAATCACTTCCTGTTGCCCTCCTGTGTTTTCCGAAATCAACCATTACCTGGAACTTCCCTGGTGGTCCAGAGGCTAAGACTCCACTCTCCCAATGCAGTGGGCCGGGGTTTGATCCCTGGTCAGGGAACTAGATCCCATATGCCACAACTAAAGATCCCACATGTCGCAACTAAGACCCGGCACAGCCAAATCGATCCATCAATATTTTAAAATAAATCAATAAAATAAATAAATAAATTCATGCATTATCCCAAAATCTGGACCCTAACGGAAGAGGTAGCATGTTCATATAAACAGATTGGAAGCAAACTGCATAACAGGTAGACAGAAATCATACCCACTACGTGAATGACCTTGACAGGACCCATAAGACGTGGCCAGGGGAGGAGAGGCACTGGGCCAATGTCACCTTTCACTCTCAGGGGCCCAGAAGAAGCCATGGATTTGGAGAGTGGAAACTAAGATGCCGATGGGAACTTGGATTGAGAGACAGAGTTTAAAAGGCAAATTTGGTGGAGAAAACATGCTGTTTCCTTTGACTCAGTGATGAGCCTACTTGCTCAGATTCTATGATCAGGTTTGGCCCATTATAATTAATAGTTGCTCAATAAACATTTTTACAACTGAACAAAAAGAAACATTCTTCATCTGAATGGCAATATATTTGAACTGCTGCTGCTGCTGCTAAGTCGCTTCAGTCGTGTCCAACTCTGCGCAACCCCAGAGATGGCAGCCCAGCAGTCCACGGGATTCTCCAGGCAAGAACACTGGGATGGACAACTCACCAAAAAGGACAATAGGTTTCTTTATTACTAGTCTCATTCTTAGAAAATTTATTTAACAAATACTTGTTGTTGTTGTCATTATTCAGTCAATAAGTTGTGTCCAACTCTCTGCAACCCCGTGAACTATAGTCTGCAGGCTCCTTCTGTCTACGCAATTTCCCAGGCAAGAATACTAGAATGGACTGCTATTTCCTTCTCCAGGGGATCTTCCTTGACCCAAGAATCAAACCTGCATCTCCTGCATTAGCAAGCAGATTTTTTACTACTGAGCCACCTGGGAAGCCCATTAACAAACACTTATATGTTGTTAATTATATCCATTAATAATTCTAAGCATTTTACATATGTTACATCATCTCATTCTCACACAAACTCTAGTGATTTCCTCTGTTATCGCCATTTCACAATGAGAAAGCTGAGTCACCGAGGCAGACTAGGACACTTGTCATACCTGATAAGTGATGGAGGTGGGATTTGAATTCAGGGAATCTGAATTGAGGTCATGCTCTTGACCACTATGCTCTGCATCTGCTCTATGGCCAGAGACCTTCTGAGGACTTGAAAATACACTCTTAAAATGCAACTTTGGTGATCTGAGTATTCTGGTCTGGCCAAGGTAATGCTGCAAGCTTGCCAACCCCATTCCCTTTTCCTCCTGGGGACAGAGACCATGTATCCCAGGTTGGGCTGTTGCTGGGTAACTGAGTACTGACCACTGGAATATCAGTGAAAGGGAAGAATCCCAACAGGCCTGGCCAAAACACTCCTACCCAACCGTACACCTTTCTTCTCATGCCTGTGGCCAAATATAGAAGAGCCAGAGAGGAGTCCCAAGTCTGGAAACCAGCAGACCCCAGACAGAAGCAGCTTAGGTCCCCGAATCACTGCATGGAAGACAGCATTTTGCTGCCCAGCCCCCACTGACCCATCCTGGACAGTGACAAGCGCAGGACATGAGCCTTTGCTCTAGTAAGTCATTAAGACTCTGAGGCTGTTTCAATTAGCCAGCATGACATGACATTTAGAATAATCCATACACTTAAAAATACAGGAAAGTAATTTTAACCAAAGATGAACATTATGAGAAAGTCCAAGTATATAACTTCATGCTTCATTTCTCAGGCTGTAAGGGTACCTCCTATTATTCATCCTCTTGATGAGTTAAAGCTCTTATTCCAAAATGCCAGAAGACTAGAGAGAAGTGGAGGCAAATACGTGGCTACTTCAAAACATCTAGGTAAAGGCCTGCTAATCCTCCTGCTATAAGTGAGATTTCAAACAAGGAATTAGTCTCCTTTGATGGAAAAGCTTTGCTTATTATCCTGAACAAGAGAAATAGACTGTCAACTTGTCCAGAATCAGCATTTATAACAAGCTGCTAATTCTTACAGAGACCCCCACAGCTCCATGTTTCTGGTTATCCTCAACAGAATGAAAGGAATTTGTTCTTTGTTATTTGTAAGAAATAGTTAAATCATTTGAAGGGGTTAATCCTATTTGATTCACTTGTTTTATTTCTCTAATAACAAACTATTAAAGGCATGCTGGTGAGGGTCAACATTCTTGACTGGCACTTTACAGATGGGCAACCTGATCTGAGAAAGCTGGGACCCAACGGGCCAAACTCACTGTACTCTGGTGTCAGAGGTGCACCCAGGGTGTGGGGGGAACACTCAGGGGAGGTGCGCCCAGGGTGTGGGGGGAACACTCAGGGGAGGTGCGCCCAGGGTGTGCTGGTGAGGGTCAACATTCTTGACTGGCACTTTACAGATGGGCAACCTGATCTGAGAAAGCTGGGACCCAACGGGCCAAACTCACTGTACTCTGGTGTCAGAGGTGCACCCAGGGTGTGGGGGGAACACTCAGGGGAGGTGCACCCAGGGTGTGGGGGGAACACTCAGGGGAGGTGCGCCCAGGGTGTGGGGGGAACACTCAGGGGAGGTGCACCCAGGGTGTGGGGGGAACACTCAGGGGAGGTGCCCAGGGTGCAGGGGGGCGATGGTGGGGGGAACACTCAGGGGAGGTTTGGTTAAGCTTTGGGGGGGACACCCAGGGAGCTGGCTTCCCTGCCTATGGAGGCAGAGGATTTCCTGCAGAAGGCGTCTCCTGGGTTCGAGTCTCCTGTGAGCTAAAATCAGACTTTATCATTCTTAGGCGGAAATTTTAATTAGACAAGGAACCCGTTACCATGTTCACTGGTCCTGTGTACGCAAAGCTGTAATCACTGCCGCTCATTCTTTGTTTTAATTCCTTACTGGCATTTTCAACTAATCAAGCTTTTGTGGTCCATTCCGTTGACAGTATCAACACTTCTGCTCATTTTTAATCCCACATATCATCAACGGACTAGAAGACAAGGAAACTGAAAGCCCTTTGCATGCTCAGTTGCTAAGGAATGTCTGACTCTTTGAGACCCCAGGGACTGTAGCCCACCAGGCTCCTCTGTCCATGGGATTTTCCAGGCAAGAAGACTGGAATGGGTTGCCATTTCCTCCTCCAGAGGATCTTCCCGACTCAGGGACTGAACCTGCATCTCCTGCATTGGCAGATGGATTCTTTACCACTGAGCCACCTCAGAAGACCGAAAGCCCTTTAAGCTATGATCATTTCTTTTGCCTCCATCCTTGGAAATGTTTGAGTCCAAAGAAGGAAGCTTTTGGATAGAGTTTCTGGTTCCCCCTCAAGGGGGTTGAAGGCATTCGGAGGCTATGGTCCACACTCAAAGCCAGACAGAGAGAACCGAGTCAGAGAGGAAGTACTGCTCTGTTGTATAGAGAGGCAAGACGTGCACACATATGTGGTACAAATATTCCCACCGTGGCCAGTCGCAAGCTACCAGTGTGAAGTCACTGAGTGTGGAGCTAAAAAGAGATACACTGCAGCTCACCAGCGTATAGTACTTTTATCATACAGACTCAGGAGATGAAAGTAACCTCCCAATGCAATGAAACAATTAGAAAGTAACATGTTTTGAGTACTTTTTTGAGGTAGAGTTGGCTCGCAATATTATCAGTTCCAGGTGTACAGCAAAGGGATTCAGTTATGCCTATATATAGTATATACTTATGTGTATATATTTGAATATTTTTACCTTTGCTTCTGATATACTAATAGCTTTTATTCATTGAATACTGATACAGGATAATTTAATTTTGCATGATGGCTGCATTGAACAAAATTCCCTCTCGAACCACCCAGACCAGCTTCAGCACACGCTGCTTCTGGCCCTCCCAGGTCGTCAACTTGAGGCACCTCAAGGGGACACTAGCAAGCAGTGGATGAAAGGCTGAGCCACCCTGTCCTAGGCTTTCGGTCCTCACCCTTCCCCCAGTCCTGTGCTTGCCTCCTTAGCTGGAGGAGATGAGGATCACTGGGGGCCAGCAGACATGAAAAAGTGTTAGTCGCTCAATCGTGTCCAATTCTTTGTGACACCATGGACTATAGCACCCCACCCCCAACCAGGTCCCTCTGTCCATGGGATTACTGGAGTGAGTTGCCATTTTCCTCTCCAGGGGATCTTCCCAACCCAGGGATCAAACCCAGGTCTCCTGCATGGCAGGCAGATTCTCTACCATCTGAGCCACCATTCTTACTGGCAACCATGGTTATTTTCCACATTGTCTCCACCCCATACCTCCTGATTTTATTTCCCAGCAGCTGGGGTGAATACCTGGTTGGCCCCACTGCTCACCCTGACCCACCAGGTACCTGCCTCCTCATGCTCCCAGCAACCCGAAATCACAACAGGGCCATCCCCACCCCCTGCCACCCCAGCCTCCCAACCACAGAATCCCAAAACCTTAGCAGAACTGCTTGTTCTCATGATTCCGCTCCTCACATTCAGAGCATCAGTAGCTACTGCCATTTCCATGGTTCAATTTTAACAAAATTATATGTTACCCATGGGCTGGGCACCAAGGAATACATATGGGCTTCCTTTCCTCAAAGATCATTTTGTCAAGCAAGTATGACACATTAATAGAACACAGAAGAGAATGAAAAGCCACTTAAACCAACTGTCAAAATGTGTGGAAGTTCACCTTCAGTTGTATTCCTTCCGTTGTAATTAGCAGCCACAGCCCCTGAGATTCAAGCATCCTCTACCAGACAGGACACCTCCCTTCCAGCAGAAAGGCTGCCTGACTTCCTAAGCCAGGTGTCATGACCCTGCCTCCATAATTAACACCTGGGCAATTTGTGCAAGTCCTTCGACTAAAACAGAAACGATGACTCTGTGCCCTTTAGTCCCTTGAAAGTGGGGCTTACAGTAGGGCTATAGGAAGGGGGCAAGGTCAGCTTGCTCCCCTTAGCAAGCTGGGGCACATGTGCATGAAGGGGTCCCCGCAACTCAGGCAGCCTGTGAAGATGCCCAATGAATCCTCACATGCTGGCCACTGCGTTCCACGACATGAGCCCTGCCATCACCACACCCCAGACGCATGATTAATTTGTAAACCATCACGTGAGCCAAGCAGGAGGAATACACAGCTAGTTACTGGGCTGGACTGACCCACGAACAGTAAAACCTCCTCAGTACTTTGGGGTTCAGCTTCAGTTACAAACAAATTGATAGGCACACCAAATACAGGCTTCAGTCTTGTCAGGGATAACTAAGTTAACAGTTACAAGAGAACGCAATAATGAGGCGAACAGGCAGCGAGGGGCGCTTAATTCCAATCGAGTTATTAGAAAGGGTCAGAGAGAACCATTCAGACTCTGCCCAGAGAGCAGAGCACCCGGACGCCTCCCTGCCAGGCCAGTTCCTGACAGGAACCTCAATTCCTCCTGACATGAAGGGAACCTGATCCCCCCACCCCAGGCCTCTCAGGTCAAATGTCTTCCCAAATGATGGAAGGGCCCGGGAATTTCCTGACTCCAGTGATTTTCATGTCAACCCTGNCACCAGCCCCATGCCTGGTCCTCAGCCACCACGGCACATACATGTCCAGCCCTGCCCCTCCTGGAGGCCAAGCTCCCACCAGTGACCAAGGACAGAGGACAGGAGACAGCAGCAGCTGCTGGGAAGAACAGCCTGGTGCCCCAGCGAGTGGGGGCACAGCCAGCTGCACTGTCCCCCCCAGGAAGGCGCGGAGGCAGCAGGAGGTGAAACCCCGCAGGAGCTGCGATCTCAGGCCCTCTGAGCCCGTGCCCTCGTCCCATCGTACAAAATGCACATTTGAAGAGAAAAAATGATGAAGATGTTCAAAATGGCAACGGCCAGCCCAGGGCCCATCTGACGGCGCTGGGCCTGCTCCCGGCTCAGAAGTGAAGCCCTGCTATGGGCCCGTCTCGCTCCAGGGCCGGGTCCACTGTGGGCACCCTGGGCCCCCCACTCCAGGCTCATCCCTCCGTCAGAGCAGCAGGCAGGCAGGCATCGCAGCAGGTCAGCTCCGAGACAGCTACAGTTTCCCCCTCCACTGGGGCTCCGGCGGCCAAGCAGTCACGAAGCTTCCGGCTTCCCTCAACTTTGTGGTTCCTTCTAAAGGCAGCAGAGACTAGAAACTCGGATGACAAGCAAAACCATCAGGAAGGACAGCTTTCCAACAAGCAAGGCTGCATGTCCCTTTCACAATTCTTCATAAAACCTTCACAGAATCCTGGCTCGGCCGGTCAAGCCTTTGTGGGCTTTGGCTGCCCCCATCCCTTGAGGGCCACGGCCGAGGGACGAGCGCACAAGCCACAGGACCACCCCCTGCCATCTCCTAAGATGGGGAGTGAGGACATGGCGCTCATTTCACCATCCTTCAAACTACACGTACTTTCCACGTTCATTCCCTTCAAATGCATAACACATCTCACAACAACAACAAAAAATGCATAGTTTCACATAAAGCTGTGATTTGAACATAATTTAAAAATAAAAGGTACACTGGGTCAGTTTTCTTTAAGAGAAAGACCAAAGGAAACTGACTCACATTGATATCAGAAGAAATCAGGCCTGTTGGTTAACCCCAACAAATCATATTTAAATTTCTAAATC